GCTGTCCAGGAGGACAAACAGAAAAAGCTCCATCAAGAACACAACCTGAAGGCGAAGGAAGAGGGCAAGAGGGAGCTCCGGGAGCGAGAGGAGCAGCTCCTGCAGGAGAAGCTGTCCACGGCTGCACAGAAGAGGCTGAAGAAGGAGGTGCAGCTGCAGAAGGAGAAGAAACTGCTCAACCAAGCAGAGAAGCTGAAGCATGAGGCCTTGCTCAAGGAACTGGCCAAGCAAGAGGCAGAAGAGAAGGAAATGCTGAAGGCCTCTCTGGAGATGAGTTTGACCAAGGCTCAGGAGAACTACGAACAGCTAGTGGAGAAGAGGAACCAGGAGCTGAGGGAGAAGGCCAAGCGGGAGGACATGCAGATCCAGAGAGCCAAACTGGCAGCAGAGAAGAAGGAAAGAGAACAGAAGGAGCACTTGGAGGCCCTGGCTAGGGAGACAGAGAGAAAGCTCCAGCACGCTGCCCAGGTGGCCGAAGAGGTTGTCCAAGAGAAAGCCCGCAAGTTGGTCTTGAGCCGTCTGGAGAAGGAGAAGGTGCAGAAGATGAACAAGCAAAAGGTGGAACAGTATGAGGACTTACGGCGCAGGGAGATCCTCCTGTCTATAGAGAGGAAGCTGGAGAGGAGTGAGCAGATCTTCAAGGAGAAGACGACTGTCTTGGAAAATGCCAGGTCTGTCGCTCGGGCCTCCTTCCATGTTCGGGAAAAGGTACGGGAAGAGACGAACATGCGCACCTTTGACAAGATGGCCTTGGAAGCAGAACTGCATGCCCACCTGAACAAGAAATGAAAGATCTTGTCAAGAATGAGTGGGGATACATTGCCGTTTGTCCATCGTCATGCATCAGAACGCTCCTCCGTGTTAGCGTTTAAAACCCAACAACAACCACCCAAATTTCTTACTGTGGGGGTGCAGGGTACCGCACAAAAACGTGGCAGCTATTTCACATACTTTTTAAAACATGTTTTTGTTCTGGGCATGATTTAAGGACTGACATCAGTTCCCCTTTACAGAGGGGAAGCGAGTTTTTGTGTTCTCCACCCCACAAGCACATGTATTTTCTCAGAGAGGGCTGCAAAAGAGGTCTGCTTGAAGCCTGCGAGTTACCGGTTGATTGTCTACACCGGAGCTGACTACAGCTGTGCTCCTCGGTTGGAAATGCAGACGCAGAGACTACCAACGGAGAACCAAAACCACAGGCAGCTTGGCTTAAGTCACAGGACTGCATTTTCAGAGCTGCTGCACTCCCGCGCTGTAGGGAAGGAGGGCTGGAGTGGGGAACGCCACGTGGCCCCGGGCGCCCCTCGCCCACTGCTGGTGCCGAGCAAGAGAAAGCACAGGTCAAGACTTCGTAACGCCATGTAAGTTGACTTAATGATCAGAGCCGGGCCGAGGCTGTTACAAGCGCTCGCAAACACGATTTCACTTTTGCTGTTGGCAGCTGCTGCCCCTCCCAGGTGTCCTCACCCCTGCCTCTCCTTCCCAAGTCCGTCTTCTAAACATTTGTACAATTTCTTCTTTTCTTCCAGCGGTGGGGGGAGAACGATAGATGTTTGTGGGCAATCCGTAAACCGATGGGCACCCATGCAATCCCCTTGTTCATTAAGATACAAAAATGAATGAAGCTGGGGCAGCTGCCCCTTGTAGCAAACGTGCGGATCCATTTGTAAATGGAAATCTGCAAACATACGGCATAGAGTAGTCGCCATCCAATTTGGCCTGCCATGAGCAGGAGACGGACCGGGTGTCCTCCAGAGGTCTTCTCCAACCTAATGGTTCTAGGAGTTGCTTACAATGAGATGGTTACCCGGCTCTTATCATGGTCTACTGAGCAGGGCAGCGTTGTCTGTCCACTGGTGCTAACAGTTGTATTCTTACATAGGGCACAAGAAAGAGTGGTTGCACAAAATAAGGTACGTTACAGATTCTCTTAGATGAGGATCATGGCTTTTTTATAACTAATTCCATACTGTTTAGAGGGAACAGCGTCGTCCTGCCGTTAACACACTGGAAGAGTGAAAAGCCTACCTAACGCCACGTGCATGGCATTCCACTAAGACAGTGTTCTGCTCCAGGTTGGACATGGACTGCCTGCTGGGTTGCAGTTATGAGCACAAATCCAAACCAGGCGCTTTCTGCTATGTTTTTCTGGCTCTGGGCAGCGCCAGCTCTCTGTTCCACCATCCTTGATGACACGCTGGGTTGCTGTGGTGATGGCATCGGACCTGAAACATGGTGGAGAAGCAGCAAGAACAGCCAGGATCTTGTTTTCCTTGCAGGTGTCTCTGACACACAACACAGGGGAAGAAAAAAACCAGACGAGGGCTGATGCATGGCATAGGCATGCAGTCCTGCGTGCATAGATTGCTTACCAGAGTTTCCTAGGAGGTGACAGCAAGGTAAAACAAGTCTTTAAGGAAGGTGTTAAGTGAAGAGCAACAACAACAGGCCAAGCATACCCTGCTGCCCTGCATGGCTGGAGACATTATAAAAACAGTGTTGAAAATCAAGCAAGTAGGGATTTTCTTTGATATTGGTGGAACTTGTTCTTTGAATCACAATACAGCTGGTGCTGTTGAGGGCGGACAGCATGGAAGAAGGAATTGGGGCACCTGAGTGACATTTGCTCCGTCAGTTGTTGGCTCGCTGTGTAACGCCAGGCAAGTCCTCAGGGGCTGGGCTTGCTCCTAGTGATATAAACGGAATCAGAGTCAGGCTCTTGGGATTGCTGGGACTTGCAGGAAATGGTAACACTCAGCAAAAGGTCAGAGACTTTGGACAAATGATGCTAACAAAGCACAAAGTACTATTTTATTATTTATTTGTTCGGTTTTTTGTTTGAGTGGTTATTAAAGTAAAACATACCCATTGGTGAAAATTAGTAATTGACACCAAAATCTAAAAATACTGGTAGCTGTGGGAAGGACGGCTTGTGTTACTGTTCCCAGCTAGGAGTCTGTCCCCTCACCCTCGTCCTCAAAACAGCAATCAGTTTGAACAGTGAAACCAATCCTGCTGTAACAACAGACAAGGTCCTTGCTAAAAAACAATCGCCTTCATGTGTGGTTTGTACTGCAGTGGTCCATGTGTGCCCTTGTAGCTGCAAAGTCCTAGAAAAGAGATGCCCAGTGGCCCAAATCCAGCCCGCGCAAAACTTCTTTCTCTCCCTGGCAGTGCTGGAGTTGGGATAAAACCTGCAGTGACTTCAGCACAGCCAATATTTCATCTTGTTTGCAGCCTTCAGGGCTGCAGAGAAAGACTGCCAGCATGGCTGGGACGGCTTTTGCTCCCTGCTTCATCGTGCTGTGGTTGAAGTTCACTGCTTGATCCATTTAGCAGAGGACGAATGGGGAAGAGCTGGAAAGAAGGCAAGATGCGGTGGGCAAATGAGCAATAACAGTCTTTAGCTGGAACAGCAGTTCTTCCCTGAAGGGAAATCTGCAATCTACCCAAAGGCTTTGTCCAAACCTCCCTCTGACAGGGCTTTTCCAGTGTAGACTGAGAATGTTTTGCAGCCCAGGAGAGATGTCTTGGCCCCTGACTGTAATTACACCTGGGGGCCATCTCCTGCTGCTGACTGACTCCTTGGGGCTACGGCTGAACTAATCAACACACAGCTACATGGTTGTAATTGGATTGGCAAACTACTATCCCTATACTGTGCAGTGTGCAGCTAAAGTTTTGAATGTGCAAGCTAAGAAAAAAGAATATTTTTTTTTCCAAAAGACATTAATCTGTGTATGGATGTTTTTTATTTCTGTAGAGGTTCCAGGCCAAAGACTCTGAGAGTCAATGGTGCTTACATGTTGTTCAAAACTGCAGCATGGAAAATGAAGTCAGCAAGTTGGGTGGAGGCATAAGAGGTATTTCTTGGGTCTACTTATGCTTCTGTTTATTTGAAAGGGACTGTTACTGCTCTATTTCTGTGGAAACAGAAATTAAACCCTGGGACACATGTAAAGAGTATGACCCTTCTAGATGAGGCTTATTTGGTGCTTTTGATATCCAGATGCAGGCCAGGGAGAACTAAAAATCACAGCAAGCAACACGTTACCTGACAGCTCAGAGGTACATCACAGCTTATGTAGAGCACAGGAGCAGCTGATCGCATTTGGTCAGGTCCTGCAGAAAGATAACTCACCTTGGTCCTCTCCTGGGATTAGAAAACACATTTTAGGCTATTACTCTATTATAATCATAAGGTTATAACACTTTGCTTCTAGGCCATTTCTGTGCATGCTGCAGAATGACCACTAGACCTTGAAATACCAGCACTTTAAAAGCAACAGCAACAAAAGGACAATTACCAGGAAACTTCTGTGACTGATAGCACACGTTAGATCTGGCCAGCATCAAATTCCCAGGTTCCACTTCCTAAACACTTGGAGTCTAGCTCCAGGTTTCATGCTAGATCCTATAGATCTAATGGGACAACCCAAAATCTGGATCCAAATGCCACTGAACATTCAAACGTGAAGCTGAACACTGACATGTGGACACATCTCTGGCCCCACTTGAAAACCACTGCGCTGCTTACTACTGCCCACTGAGTAGGACTACTGCTAGAAGTTGGCTTGCTAGAAACCACCCCGAATGTTTACCGTGTTTCTGAGGATGAGATATTGAACTATAAGGGTGAAAGATTCCAATATGATTTAAATGTTCTAAAAAGAATTACAGGACCAAGTCCTGGGACTCGTTTTCAGGTAAAACTCCCATCGTAACACACTGATGTTTTGCATAATGAAATGACATAATCAAGCGCACAGTATTGGAATAAGACAAGTAAATTTAGAGGCCCCAGAACCGTGCAGCCTGGTGTCCTTGGGTGGGCACCCTGTGATTCTCACTTCAGTGAAACCAAGGTTGCAGAATGCATTCATCTTGTATTAGATGTCAGAGAAGTCCCACATGGGAGAGAATGATTAACCAAAGAGCATTTTCTTTTGTCTGAGCTCTGGTTGAATTTTTCACACATTTTGAGTGTTCACAGACTACCTTGTTTATGTGGATTGTTTAGTTTTTAACAGCATCTGGGCTAAAGCTGGAGCCCCTCCGTGTCAGTGAGAGTGCCAACACTCTCTTCTGCATGCTGCCTCTTTGCACAAAATTCCTCACTAAAGCACCATCTCTGTCAAGGTTAAATTTGGCAGACACGCTCAAAAGCTGTTAGGAGGAGCAGCTGCACCACCACTAGTTAATATTTTACAAGTTTTTTTTTAACCCAGTTTATCAGAAAGTCTTTCACTGCATAGATAAAAGAGATGTGAGGATTGATTTCTCACCTTGGTTGCTTACTGGGTTTCTTTTATGATGCTTATGGGGCTCCTGGCTTGTTCTGTGCTAAAATCTCTCCTGATGCCAGAGGACTTCTGTTCGCTAAACAAACGCTGAATATGCAGTCCACATAGGTCTGAGGACTAAGACATAGGACTTAGTTTGGTGTGGATGACTTTGCTAAGTCAAGCCTGGATGGGGCAATGTGGGAAACAGAATTTGCAATACCAAGTCCATCAACCTCTAGTTTTCCAGAAGTTCTGCTGAGAACAGCCCCAGAGCCACCTCTGCTAGCTGTCATCAGGGAAGTGGCTTCTTCAGGGAGGTAACATCTTCCAGGTTGATCACATCCTTCAGTGGCACGTAGGATGAGAATGGCTTCTCATTGCCACCAGGTGTTTCGCCAAACAAGATCTTCCTCTGGTGATGTTGACAAAAATGTAGTAGTTAGAATGCCATTTTGCATTGGGTTTTTTTTTTGTATCTTTTGTTTTTCTTTGTAAAGCAGATGC